TGCAGGGCGATCCTAGTAGGGTCCTTTGAGTAGTCCCATCACGGTGTGGATGACGCATTCAGCTCCTCCTTTGAGTGCTACCCTGAACTGAACTTGTGAGTAGAATTTGCAGATCCAACTGCCTAACTGACGTAAAGCAGTTTTGGCAGCTAGACATAGAAGCACTTCTCCTATCGTGATAGGTCTAATTGCGCCTCCTACCTTTTGCAAGGCTATTCGGTATCGAAAGGAGGTTATTGTTCAATGTTTTAAGCAGGAAATTGTTGAAGAGATCTCGCACCGAAGGTTGGGAAGTGTGCGAGTTGTATTATCTATACCAAGGAGGTGCGTCAAGGCTTCTCCATTTGAGAAGGCTAGTTTACATAGGTGTTTAGAGCACATCCATGATGTTCCCGCCCCAATTCCATGGCACTTCGCTATGACTTTGCCAAGAGGGAGTGATGTGATGATGTGAAGATGTACTGTGATGCAACAGCTTTCACCAGATTAGCTTTCCGCACGAGACCTTCTGCCCTAGCACACATACCCTCGGGGTCCAGTTCAGATCGGTTGTAAGCTGTTTGTGATGGTGCTGGCCTACTGATATAGCGACTCCCAATCTTCAGTGCGAAAAAGCTGGAGCCTCGCTTCTTCTGCTGACCAACGGTTTCCCAAAAGAACACAAGTGTTGGCGCGAAAGGTCAATTGGGTCAAAACGGCAAAACGCGCCAAGCTCCTAGGTAGGTAGGGCATTTTATCAGTCGTAAGAGTGGGATAGATGTACCTTCCCAGGAATTCGGAGGGGGAGTTTCTGAACCAGGAATGGTTGGGCGTTGTTCCTAAGAGGTTCCACAGACCATCCTTCAATGAGCCTCCAAACTTCAGCATCATCAGCTATCTTCAACAGGGACCAAACATCGCAGCTCCCAGCCTCTGCATTTTGTTGGTTCGCTAGCACTTCATGCCGAGCTTCGTTCTTGTTTCTGCCTGATTTCTCCCTCGATCGACGTGGTGGTTGCCCATCTAGGGTTCCTCCTTCAATGAGACATCACATTCCTTGTTTTCTGAGGGCATCATTTCCCTCTTTCCTCACTTTTCACAATTAGCAGGCCTATCATTAGCTTGAGAAGCTAACACTTCTAGTCTCCCGTGATGTCCACACCAAGTTCCAAATTTAAAACCGAAGTCTCATAGGTTTCAAAGTTAGGAAGGTTGGTTGGGAAAAGAGCCGCAACTGGCTCGCGAACTAGGGTGGGTGCCGAAATTGGAAGCCACAGATCGCTGAGTGATATACTGTCGTGAGGGTTACCAGATCCCAAATGCAACCTGCGGAGAGACACTCTACAACGGTAGTGGGCTAGACTACAGGGGTTGGCACGAACTACTAGAGGTGATCGTAGCTTTGCTTGGTTCCTTAGTGCTTGCACATTCACGGGAGAAATTGGCAAGAGTTTCCACTAGCAAAGTTGGAATTACAAAATAATTGAACAAGCAATGACAGAATGACTACATCAAGCACCTAGCAACCCTGCTGCTAGCCTGGTCGACCGCCAGCACAGCTCGGTCGACCGCCTGCCAGCGTTGCGTAGAGGAGCCGCGCCAGCACTGCACAAAGGCGACCTACCAACAGAGCAGGTCGATGGCATGCCAACGTTGCAGCAGAGCGGCTGTCCAGCGTTGCCCCGTAGAACACAGCAATGCACACGCTCGCAGGTGCGCGCAGACAATTGGCCCGACTTGCCTCGTTGGGCATCTGTCGGCTGTTGTCTGTGCCTGACGAGCCACATCGACTTCAGGATACCAGAAGGCAGTCTCCTTCGCCATCGCGACCTCCACGACGTTCGCCGCCTCCGCAGAACTCGTCGAGCAGGTTACCCGGTCAACCCGGACGACCACTAGGTGCTTCCGGTCGACCACCACTGCTTCTGGTCGACCCCCAGGTCCCTCTGGTCGATCACAACTCTCGTCGAGCTACCCTCTGGTCGACGGACCCCTTCCGTCGACCAGAACCGTCAGCGGTTGTCCGCGAGCTCCCCTCGTCGACCGCTGCTCACTTGTCAGGTCGACGGACTGCTCCGTCGACCTCCCGGTCGAACTGTAGGTCGACAGGATGCCTCGGAGACCTCTCGGTCAAACGACAGGTCGACGGGATGCTCCGAAGACCTCCCGGTCGAACGGCAGGTCGACGGGATGCTCCGGAGACCTCCCGGTCGAACGGCAGGTCGACGGGATGCTCCGGAGACCTCACGGTCGAACGGCAAGTCGACGGGATGCTTAGGAGACCACCCGGTCGAGCTGTAGGTCCTGGTCGACGTCCCACCCATCGCCCAGACCAGTCATTTGCGGCTGTCGAGCTCCCTGGTCCACAGCAACACCACAGCGGTCTTCTGCAGCTCGACGAAGCCTGTCGAGCAGCTCTCCCACTGTGAACGGTCGGCTGCTACTCCCGTACATCCGACCAAGTCGTCGGCGTTGCCCAAGCGAGGGCGAGGCCAACACTCCATTCCTGTTAACACAACCCGTGAACTCCTTCGCGAGAATTTCAAATTTAGAGCAACTTCAATAGGCGAAATCGTCACTGCTGTCGTCATTGCTAGTACACGGATTTCGGGTCGTCAAAATCGTTCCCACACTTCACGAAGTTGACTGTCATCTACCAAATAACCCCCAACCAAAGTTAGGAAGGTTGAGGCAGTTTTGGGCTGTTTCGGACTCCGGTTTTATGTGGCCATTGCACACCTTTGGATCTCCCCCCTCCCCAACCCCTTCGTCCGCTACTCCCCTCCCTCCACCTGCCACTGTCATGGTGCACCCCCTGTAAGGATTCACAATGCACTCCCTCTTGGGGCTCCTCAACGTACTCATCCCTCTCGTATGGTCTTGCACATCCCCCGCCGCATGGCCGCTTGTGTTGTGGTCGCCTGTGCTGTAGCGACGTCTGCAACGACGACTCTTGTGGTTTTTGCCTCCCATTGCTCACATGCATACCCAGTTTTTGCGTCAGCGTGTCTCGTTGATGGACGAGGATGCGTGACTCCACTTTGGTGCACCCTCGCTGCTGGCTTCAGTGTAGCAACCCCGACAGCAGGCCAGGGTGGCCAGGTGCCAGCCCTGCTTTGAGTTGCACCGGCGCTGTCTGAAGGCGATGAGATCGGCGAGCTGCCCGGGTAGGTGTGAAAGGCAGGCCCTGCGATACCGTTCCCCGCTAACCCGTGCATGGACATTTCGGTCGCCCCCTTCGAAGCAGCAGTTCCGCCTTCCCCGTCGGCGCCCGCCAGGGGCACCGGCAGAACCCTGACGGATGACGCGGCATCACCAGATACAGCAGCGCCAGTAACAACAACATCAATAGCAACAGAGGTTGCAGCAACTGCAGCGACAGCAGCAGCAGCAACAACGGCGGGAGATAGCTCAGCCGCAACGTTTAGCATTGTTGCGATGGCAGACCAAGCAACAGCTGTAACAGCAGGCCCCGCCGCTGACGGAGTACATTCCTAACACCAAGCTTGAGGAAGAGGTGGTGGTAGAGGACCCATCGAGATGGCCTAATACGCCACCACAAAGCATTGTGCCCAGATGTGGATTAGCACGAGGGCTGCCTGACGTCTCCTGATGATGTGTCGTGGCCAATTGGTCAGGGTTTGGGCAAGGCATCGCCGCTTCGGTTGGAGCGCCATTTGCAGCGAGTACGGAAACTGTGCTTGACCAGCTGCATGACATGTTCAAGGCCCATCTCCCTGAAGCCCGTGATCCAGTGCTGAGCTAGGTGCAGCAGTTGTGGGTGAATCGTGCATTTGCCTCACTACTGTGAGATCTGTTGCACCTCCCACACGTTCTTGACATGCTGGGGCAGAATGATGGCACCGGCGCCTCTGTCCTTTGCGCATTCTTGGCTGTGGCAGAACAGGAGAACGGCGTTGGTCTTACTTCTGCAAGTGCGTCTGCACTCCGTGGACAAAGGGGCGTTTGGTGCTGATGGCTGAAGATTAGCCTTGGGAGTGTTGGAAATCCGAGTACAGTATAACGAATACTGTATACCAGTGTGCTGTTTGGTTTTAGTGTAGTCCCCTTTATAAGCCTCCAGGTCCTACAATAATTGTCACAATTATTGTAGGGCCAGAATCATTGGAGCCTATCATTATTAGAGGGTAGGGGGGAGAATTATTGGTGCACCATTATTGGTGTGAATGGGGCCATCCTATGAGAGTTAGGTGGGTCCATCAATGCCCTGCTGTGTCACTTCTCAATCAATCAATTCTCAACTCATTTCCAATGCAAGCTTTCTATCTTGTTCTTTCTACAAACACGTTTCCGCTACGCCGGCACTATGCCTTTCTAGTAGGGAGCTGGGCTGGACATTGTCATACAAGAGGTGGAATTTACAAACTTTGGGGCTTTGTATGTGTTCTTGTCACTCTTTCATGTTGTAACTTGCTCTCCTTTCTAGTAAGTTTTTCAGCATGTTGCTCGCCGTTCCTCATGTGCGCCGAAGGCTCCGGTGCCTTTGTACTAGGAAGGAGAGGCAAAGAGACCAGCTCCTAGAGCATGTCTCTCTGTATGAAATACCAAACTGCTTAGCTAGCCATGTATTCTAAGGGTTAGATTCTCTTACTGCATCGAGATTCAGTTGTGTGGTGCGGGAACCCGTTTCAAACCTGTTGTCGCCTTTTACCATTCAAATGGTTCTGCGTGGAAATGTTTTTATCTGACAACAATCTTTGTTGGTTCGGTTCGCCCGACTCCTCGACTTTGTACTCAGTAGTGTTGGCTGCTGTTACGCACAGGAATGTTCTTGACTTAATTCCTTATCGTAAAATCTTGCTCCCTACCCTCCCCTCCCTCCCTCTACCCCCCGCATCCCCATTGTTCACCTTAACTCTCATGTTGACAATGCTGAAAGTTGGTGATTCTTTTGAAACTGTAGGTTATAAATGCAAGTAGAATACATGTGTATGGACTCTTGTGTATCCTTGTGCTATAGTTCCGTTTCAAAACAAAAGCAGAATATTGCTTCCTAATGACTACACCAGTGTGATTTGCCTTTGGCACTGTCAATGCAACACTTCACTTGATGAAATCCTGAACGCTCATGCTGTTTCCTCCACAGAGCAAATTAAAAATAGGGTGGTGCACATGTTGCCGCTGCTGCTGCTGCTGCTGCTGCTGCTGCTGCTGCTGCTGCTGCTGCTGCTGCTGCTGCTGCTGCTGCTGATGATGATGATGATGATGATGATGATGATGATGATGATGATGATGATGATGATGATGATGATGATGATGATGATGATGATGATGATGATGATGATGATGATGATGCGACAATGAACCACTGCCTCTATGACATGCCGCAAGGCCAAACATAGTGACTGTCAGTGGCGGCATAACCAGCAGTTGCGGCTTATCTTCCGCACCCCAGTGTCCAGCTGCCAGCTCTTCTGTCATCACCGCAGCGTTTGTGGACAGACACGGCCCAGTTGGGAGCAATAGCTCCTCACTTCCATTGTTGCACGTGCTAGAGAGTGAGCTGAGGGAATGCTGACTGAATACACAAGGAGCGGCGTGTGGAGGGCCGGATGGAGGGGCGTGTGGGCTATGTGGAGGCGATTGCTGAGGGGTATGTGGAGGGGCATGTGTATGGGCATCTGCAGGGGCATGCACAGAACAATGTGCAGAAGTGTGCAGAGGGTCATGTGAAGGGACCTGTGAAGGGGTACGTGAAGCATCTTCCTCCTCAGTATCACCCAGTGTAAGCCAGTTCTCCTGTGCCTTGGCAAGAATCTTTGCGAGCCTTGGAGAAAGTGTCCTGGCTTCGACCCGCTTGCTGGCAGCCGACACGACTGCGGGCAATGCTGCTGCTGCAGCCTTCTCAAGCCGGACCGCTTGCCGCTTGTGACGACGCGGGGGAGGCTCGCGTGATTGGTGGTTGTGGTCGTGGCGGTAGACTGTGACGACTGTGAGCTCTTGATAGCCTATCAAGCCAGAGGCTTGAGGCTGAGGCTGATGCTGAGTGGCAGACCGAGTCTGGGCTGCAAACTGCGTCTGAGTGGCAGACTGGGATGCTGCTGGCAGCATCCGCTCGAGGTCTTCCGCGGGTGCTGCTATGGCGTGCGGTGTTGCACTGCTGTTGCCTACCCCGTCGGCGTTAGCGGTTGGGTGGAGAGAAGTACTGGTGCTAGTGGGGCGTGCAGGGCCGAAGTCGATGGTTTTTTGGGCAGGGCAGGCTTTTGCGGTCCTGGACCAGGCGCACCTGTAGTACCACCTGCATGTGGGGATGAAGAGTTCAAAAGAGCAGCAGGTGAGATGAGAATATAGAGTGTCCCGGGCTACAACAATCTTGGACCACGTGCACGATTCTATGGGGGTAAAGAGATGGGAGAAACAAGTGAGATAGGAATGGAATGTGGTGGTAACATATGACATATGGCCAACATCACCGGGGTCTTTTTTTTTTTTTTTAGAGAGAGAGAGAGAGAGAGAGAGAGAGAGAGAGAGAGAGAGAGAGAGAGAGAGAGAGAGAGAGAGAGAGAGAGAGAGAGAGCATCGCCAAACTATGTTTTCTCGCTTTCGTATCGGAAACCAGTTGCCAGCGACTGGCTGGGTAAAACCAGTCGTTCCGACTTGCAAACCATTGGCTTTGGCCAATGGTTTGCGATTTGGATGCTTTGGTGGCGTATCGGTTGCGTGTTGTCCAGCGCGAGACCGAGAAGTCGCACCTGATTTCGAGGCATGGATGGTGAGTTGTAGGTTTGGCACAGGTTTGGAAGTAGCTCTGAAGTTTTTGGCCAGTCGCGAAGCTCCACGCCTGCACGTTCTGGTTGGTCGAAATTTTGCCCCTACCATCGATGGATTGAGATTCCAATATCTTGTATAAATGTTCCCAGTGTAACTTATCGTGTTAGTTGATGTAGATTTATGTACGTGAAAACATTTACTGTGATTTATGAATATGTTGTTGAATTTTTTGCGTATTTAACTCATGCAAATTTTTACTATGGAAATATAACATGATAATTAACATACAATGCAGACATAACATGGCGTATGAATTACGTTGGAAATACATGAATTTAGAGTTGTAGTGGAATTAGAATCACACACCTGCTACACATGTAATGAAATCGTTCATAAATTACAAGAAATTGGTACAGTTTTGGGTACCTTCAAGTTGTATACTCCATAACACATAATCGCAAGGTCATTGCCTTTTCGACGCTTGTTGTGAGTATTGTTGAACATGTCCGAGAAATTCACTAAACAGATAGGAAACGTTGCACATACGAGTCATCCTGGCCGTTCAATCTGTAAAATATCGCCCACTCAACATGCGAGGAGCCCATGTACAGATAGATCGCGCGTGGGCCCTAGCAGGGACAGATTGACAAAATTAGGAGGAAGAAAGAGAATTGAACTAGCAAGAATGAGGATACAAATAGCAAACCCTAGAAGGGTTGTACTCGCTATAGAGCACCCCACTACAGGCTAGAGCATAAGATAACATTCTGACACACCCCCATAGCCAAAGTGGGGTGTAATCAGCAGAGCAGGCAAAGCAGTACAAGCTCAGGGTGGATCACAATGTCACCACACATTCTGAGCACAAGTTTAAGAAGCAATAGTTTAGAGTTCATAATTATGAGCAAAGCTAGTGGTAGTCACAACGGGCAAGTGAGGAGGAGGAGAGAGAGTGAGGGGAGAGGAGATAGGAGGCGACGGCTGAAGCTGCAGACACACGGGCAACAGGAGGCAGACTGGCACAGCGGCTACCGGAGAGCGCCCGGACTACAGGAGTAACAGGCCCCGCGGCTCAAGTTGCGGTAGACGGGCAACGGACCCACGGGCGGCTGGCGTAGAAGTCTAGCTCACTGGGCTACCGGGACAGCGCCCCGGACTACAGGTGCTGCTGACGACAAACTGGCAATCTCCGCTCATCCTCCCGCACACAGTCCCACCCCCCCTGATACACACCCGCTGCTACACCGCTAGCTCCACTCCCACGCACCCCCCTTAAACCCTAAACCCCAGTCTCCCACACAACCACCCCCCTCAGCGACAGCTGCAGGAGTGGGAGACGAAGGAGGAGGAGGAGCAAAGGGAGGAAGGCACACCGGCCACCCCCATACCCGACACCCCACCGCTCGCAAGCGGCCCCCTCAGGTCGCCTCGACAGGCGACGGGAAAAGGGGGGGGGGGGGAAGGCGGGGACGGGGCCGGGGCCGCGACGGGTAGGGCGACGGGCCGCATGTAGTGCGGCGGTAGGGCCGCAGGTAGGGCGGCTGGTGGGCCGCAGGTAGGGCGGCGAGTGGCCGCAGGTAGGGCGGCTCGCGGGCCGCAGGTAGGGCGGCGGGTGGGCCGCGAAGGTAGGGCGACGGGTGGCCGCAGGTAGGGCGGCGGGTGGGCCGCGAAGGTAGGGCGGCGGGTGGGCCGCGAAGGTAGGGCGGCGGGCGGCCGCGACGGGTCGGGCAGCGGGGCCGCGACGGGTCCCCGTCGCCCGTCGCGGCGCCTTCAGAAGGCGACGCGACGAACGACGGGGCAGACGCCCGCCGCGCGCCTCGGGGCGCACAGCGGGCAGAGAACCGCCGCGCGCCTCGGGGCGCACGGCGGGCAGAAAACCGCCGCGCGCCTCGGGGCGCACGGCGGGAAGGAAAAGTAGCAGCGGAAGCGAGGTGGTAGCCCACCCACAGGATCAATCCAAGGGGATCGACCTGCTCTGATAGCATGACAAAATTAGGAGGAAGAAAGAGAATTGAACTAGCAAGAATGAGGATACAAATAGCAAACCCTAGAAGGGTTGTACTCGCTATAGAGCACCCCACTACAGGCTAGAGCATAAGATAACATTCTGACACAGATCGTTCAACGTTCGGGTCTGTCCAGGTGCACAAAGGTTGGGGGAATTTGGAGGTTGCAGGCGAATCAATACTTTGCCAGCGCAAAACATTGCAGGTAGGTGGATACTTCGCTTCTGCAGTTCGCACAACAGAAATGCTGGCGCGTCAGGTGTTTGCGCGCCAGATTCTCTTTTCGCTGGGTAACCAGTCGAAAATGTGTGCTGCGTCAGCTTGGCACAGCCCTGGTGTAGTTGGGTCAGGTGGTCCCAGCCGAGCTGGGCCCGGGCTGTGTCAGCTTTCGACCGAGCCACGTGCGATCTTGGCTCGGCCCCCAACAGCGCCCAAGGATCAGCCGCCCGATTTGGCTTAGTGCCCAGCCCTTGGTTCGTCGTTTTTCTGGCGTGTCCCGCGTGAGGACAAAGTAACCCTCACCCTTTACGGGGCCCTGGTTACGGAGCCTCGAGCAAAATCACTTGTCTAGGTGCACGCCTGGTGGATTCATTGACGCGTGGCAAATAATCGCCGCGATTGTTTTTGAACCAATAAAAACAAGCCTGCTACCCTCGGTTGACCTGCACCGTTGGAAACCAATCGTATTTTCCTCCATCGCAACGAACAAAAACGTGAGTTCGTAATGAAATTAAAGGTGAAGTGCGGTTGTGCGAGGTCAAACGTGTCTAAACAACTGTTGTAAACTTTAAGGTTGGGTGTGTAACACACATGTAATGACACCTCGTCCTTCAGAGGTCCCTTTCAACCATTCCTCGCCCTCCCCCCAAGCATTTCTGGTCGGGGGGGTAGTCTCTGAGGCTTCGTCATTTCTCACTTGTTTCTCTCAGATTGGTTTTTCTGTTTTTCACGTTCCTTAACTCAAGCTTCTCCAGAAGCTCCAGCGCCTAGGCTACGTCCCTGCCACCTCACGCTCGTGTCGGATTCGAATAGGCGCATTGAGGATATTGATACAGCACCACGAGAGCCATCGGAGTCCGTCACTGTGACAAATGTAGGTGATTTTTTTTTTTAATGTTGTAGGCAGGTCCACTTTCATTTCGCTACCATATCAACGTAGTTTCAACTTTATGTTTAAATGTCACTAACCTTTGTCTTTGCTGAGTCGATCAATCTGACAATGTGATTTTATGACGGATTTTTATGCGTTGACGTCTGTCGTTATTTTCTGCCTCGATTTTCTTTGATGTTTTCCCGATTCCCCCATTTTTATCATACCAAGGTTTGGCAATCTGCAATCGTCTCTCCTTGTGGTCCGCTCATCTCCATTTACGCCTTTACACTGAAGCTCTTGGTAAGCATTTTCGATCATGCTGCAGAACGTTGTCTAACAATTTAGCGTATGTGTTCGTTTGATTCCTGTCCAATTGTGCTTTGTTATTATTGTTTTACTGGAAGTGGTTGGCGTTTTTAACATGTCCTGGATTTTCGTTTTGTTCTGATCCTGCAGGAAATTACAAGGTTGCTGTTTTACCCTTAGCACAAGACAGTTTCTGGTTGTAGAAGTTGTAGATACAGTAGTGTTGAGATAGAGGCGAGGAATGAGTGCACTATGAAATGAAACAAGTACAAGTACCAACCCTAATTGGGTTGTACCCCCTATGGGCTACCCCACTACAGCCTAAATATATGCATCTGTAATATAATCATCTGACACACCCCCATAGGCAAAGTGGGGGAGAGCAAGGGGTCACAAGACCAGTCAAGCAAAGGAAAGCAAAGCAAAGCAAGCTCAGGGTGGATCTCAAGGATACCACACAAATTCCGAGCACAAGGTCAAGGCCACAAGGCCAGTTCACATGCAGCAGAGCATATATATATAACAGTGCTAAACAAGCAAGAGCAAGGATATATATATGCAGCAGTACAAGCAAGGTCAAGAGGTAAGCAAGTGAGGCCCAGTGGGCACAAGGCCTAGCAGAGTGCAAAAGCGCTGATGGTCACGAGGCGGAAGTGCCTTGGTGAACACATCAGCAGTGTTGGCCTCAGTGGCCACGAAACGCAGGCAAAGCTGACCACGCTGCTGCAGCTCTCGAGCAAGGAAGTAGCGCAGAGCAATGTGCTTCGTCCTGTGCTCCAGTCTGTGCTCCTCACACAAGGCAATGGTTGCCTTGTTGTCGACGTACAGCACTGGAGGAGAACGAGGCCGCTCTCCAAGGTCAGTCAGCAGGTAGGTGAGCCAGCGAAGCTCCTGGGCAGCCATGGCCGTGGCGTAGATCTCAGCCTCACAGCTGGAGCTGAGAACCGAAGAAGAGCGAGTAGAGCGCCAAGAGACAGAGCCAGAGCCAAGACTGAAGGTGTAACCCTGAGACGACCTCTGAGTAGCCTGGTCGTCAGCCCAAGAAGCGTCTAAGTGCCCAATGAGCACAGGCCGCTCACGCCCTCCAAGCACTAGCCCCATGCCCGACGTACTGCACAAGTAGCGCAACACCCTCTTAGCTGCATCCATGTGCTCCTTCCGGTGACGGCCGGGAGCAACATAGCGTGCTAAGATGCTGAGAGGGTATGCGAGGTCAGGTCGAGTGCAGGTCATCAGGTACATGAGGCAGCCCACAAGCTCTGGATACGGACCACTCGACTCTACGGACTCATCCGAAGGCAGAGCTGAGAGCGAGTGTCCCGTAGGCAGAGGAGTGAACTGAGGCGAGGAGTACGTGAAGCCGAAGCGCTGAAGGACCTGCTGCACCATGTGTGACTGAGTCAGGGTAATGGTGCGGCGTGCTCTGTCCCGGGTGATCCGCAAGCCAAGATAGCTTGTCAGTTCACCCAGGTCTGTGCACGTGTGTCTCTTCTGCAGCTCGGACTTCACGTGGGCGAGTGCGGCAGTGTCTGCAGTGGCAAAGACCAAGTCGTCGACGTACACGAGGATATAGAACGGCGGCAGCGAGGTGTCGGTGCGCAGAAACAGCGACGTGCCAGCAGTAGAAGGAGCAAACCCAAGAGCCGCAAGTGTAGTCCTCAGTGTGTCGTGCCACTCACGCGGCGCCTGGCGGAGACCGTAGACTGGCCGCCGGAGGCTCCACTGGGTACCAGGAGGGAACGACCCAGTGAAGCCAGGAGGGCGGCGCAGCCAGATCTCCTCGTGCAGGCGGCCCTGCAGGAAAGCAGTGCTGAAGTCAAGAGAGTGTAGCTCGTAGTCACGCTGAGCAGCGACGTGCAGTAGAACCCGAAGAGTGGTCATCTTCGGGGTCGGGGAGAAGGTCTAAAAGAAGTCAACTCCCTGTCGCTGACTGAAGCCACGAGCCACGTAACGCGCCTTGAAGACAGGCGGAGAACCCGGCGGCCGCTTCACCCTGAAGATCCACATGCCACTGACGATGTTCGCCCCAGGAGGGGGGACAGCGTCAACGTAGGTGCCTGTGGACTTCCAGGAAGCTATCTCTGCGTCCATGGCTGACTGCCACTGAGAGGAGTAGGGACCGGCCATCGCCTCTGCGTAAGAGCGTGGGGTCGGGATGTCTAGAGCATCCGGGTCTCCCTCAGGGGCAACAAGCATGGACACGAGATGGGGCAAAGCGGCGGCAAAGCACTGGAACTCCTCCTGCCTGTCCTCAAGGACGTCCGTGCCAAGAGCACAGTCACCCCCGACGGACGGAGGACAGGCAGACGCAGACGCAGCAGACGTAGATTCAGCAGACTCAGCAACAAGACTGGCAGCGTAGTCCAGACGACACGCAGCAGCAAAGTCGACCAGCTCAGCAACTAGGGCAGACACAGCAGCGGACTCAAAGGAAGGGTCAGTGACAAGAGAAGCAAGAAGACGCGTGACAGTAGGACTGGCAGCACGGCGAGAGTCCGACTCCGGGTCGGCAAGTGTAGGAAGAGAAGATTGAGGAGGAGAAGGCAAAGGGGCACGCAGAGGAGCAGTGGACGGACGCAGAGACATCTGGTGTGTGCCAGGGACAGGAGGAGGACGCTGACGCGAACCGCGACCACTAGAGCGAGCAGCTCGGACTGGCGACGCAGGGCGGGACGCAGGCTCACGACGCTCAGCAAGACCTCCAGTAGGACCAGCGTAGGGAGAAGGAGAAGGCAGGGGAGAGGCGGGCTGTAACTGTGACTGTGACGGGACAGGCTGCGGACACTCTACGGGAGGAGAAGGACCAGTGGAAGGCGGGAGACCAAGAACCTGCTGAAGGAGCGGAACAAAGTACGGCCGAGGCCGCGCAGCACCGCCAGAGACAGCAGGGACAGCACCAACACCTCCAGAGGCAGCACCAGCACCAGTAGCAGCTCCAACTCCAGCACCACCAGCAGCTGCAGAAGTACCCGCAGTAGGACCGACAGTCGTAACCTCAGCGCCAGCACCCGCAGCAGCTCCAGCTCCAGAGGCACCCCTGGGCCCGGCAGCTCCAGTACCCTCAGTACGAGCACCTCCGGGACCCGTGGTACCAGCCCCCTCGGCAGCAACGGAACCTCCAGCACCCGCAGTACCCCCGGCTCCAGCAGCTCGCCTCCAGCGCCGGGCAAACCACTCACGCAGCTCTCAGCACCCCCAGTCTCAGCACCCCCAGGCTCAGTACCCCTAGGCTCAGCACCCCTAGGCTCAGCACCCCCAGTCTCAGCACCCCCAGGCTCAGCACCCCCAGTCTCAGCACCCCCAGTCTCAGCACCCCGAGGCTCCGCACCCGCAGCAGCACCAGAGTCACGAGTGACCTCGACAGGCTCGACCGCGTCTACCTGAGACACACCTGAAGGGGCAGGACCCTGAGGGGGGAGGGGGTCTACCGGGGGGGGACCTGGGACCAGGAAGAGGGGCGGGGGGGGGAGGGACGGAGTGCGGTAGGGGAAGAGCCGGTAGAAGGGAACCGACTCGTCGAACGTGACGTCCTGGGAGGACAGAACACGACGAGAGGTGGGGTGGTAAAACTGCCACCCAGGTGCGTCAGGGGGGAAACCCAGGAAGACGCAAGGAGCAGCACGAGGGGACAGCTTGTCCGCAGACAAGTCGCGGACAAACGCCCGAGATCCCCAGACACGGAACGCCGACGCATCGCCAACCTTCCCCGTCCACAGCAAAGCTGGGGAGGTCTCCGGTCTGGAGACCCTGGGCTGAAGGTTGATCTGATGTGCGGCGTACCGAACCGCAAACGGCCACAGAAAATGGGGGGCAGCCGCATGCACCATGGACGTACGGGCGACGTCCATGACAATGCCGATGCGGCGCTCAGCAATCCCATTCTGCTGTGGAGAGTCCGGAAGTGTGAAGGTCTGGCGGATGCCTCGTGCCCGACAGTAGGCTCGCAGAAGGCCGGAGGAGAACTCTCCGCCTCTGTCCGAGTGCAGACGCAAAACAGGAAAGTCCGAGCCGAAGCTCCGCCTGAGCAGGAGACGAGCTGCGCGGATCCAGTCGATCAACACCTCAGTGACCTCACCCTTGCTGCGCAAGGGGAAGACTGTGGTGTAACGCGAGTAGTCGTCAACCACCAGCAGGAAGTAGCGCTCGTGACCCTGTCCACGGACGTGGGCTGGGCCCCACACGTCCATGTGAAGCGTCTGCATCGGGGCCTCCGTCGGAGGAAACGGGGAGGAGTGAGGGGTAGCCCGCAGGCGACCCTCGACACAGGGGACACAGGGAGGGCCAGGCCCCTGAGGAAGGGGAGGGAGGGACCGGGGAAGGCCAGAGACAAGAAGGCGAGAGGCCATGCCCCGGAGACGAGGCAGGGAGGGGTGACCCATCCTGTGGTGCCACAGGAGGGTCTCGTGGGACAGGAGGCGACACGAGCAGGGGGCAGACTCAGGACCAGACCTGGACGCTGCAGCAAACACCTGACCAGACGCAGCTACCTGACCAGACGCAGGAGGAGGAGACGGAACAGTGAGTGTGTACAGGCTCGACCCCGGCCCACGTGTGAACGTGGTCAAGTGTCGACCCGTGTCCGCGTCTGTGCAGTGGGTGTCCCGTCGGCGTGCAGGGGTGAACTGGTCGACCCCTGCATCCTGTAGGTCAGCACCCGCCACCAAGTTCGTAGAGAACGAGGGGAGGTAGAGACCGGACAGGGCGCCAGACGGGACCGCAGGGCACGGCAGGACAGTGGAGTAGCGAGCCAGAACAGGACCCCCAGAGGGGTCCGCCAGGGAGACCGCCACTGGCCGACTAAGCGGCGTGAGTGTGGTGCGGTCTCGAAAGGAGCGAGACGCCCCTGAGTCAAGAGTGAAGGTGAGAGAGGGCGGAGCCGACGCAGTACCTGAGAGAGCAGACTCACCAGCACCTGAGGACACAGACTCACTGGCACCTAGAGCGACAGCCTCACCAGCACCTAGAGCAGCAGCCTCAACAGCACCTAGAGCCGCAGTACCAATGCCCGGGTCGGGCGGGAAACACCGGTAACAGTCACCCTCCTCACTAATAGTCACAGCATACATGGCAGCAAGAATAGCATCAAAGTCAAGATCAAAGATAGCTACTCCTGCCCTAAACAGCTGGTCCCAGCGAGGGATCTCAGAGGCGTCAGGAAACTGGCGGCGCCAAGCGTAAGTCAGGCGGCCGAAGCAGCGCTGGGCGGGGTGTGGACCACCACACGGCTCACCCGCACGGTCGCCCCGTGCGCAAGACGTAGGTGCACGGACCAGTACCCCCACCCCTCTGACGTGCAGCGTACCACTCACGGAGCTGCTGCGGGGAGAGGGTCTCCCGACCACGCTGCTGCCGCTGCTATTGGCGCTGACCGCCACCGGAGCCACTCCTCTGCGACGAGCCACGACCTCCTCCGCCGCCTCCTCCGCCGCCGCCGCCACCACCTCCGCTGCCACCGCCACTCCCACCGTCGCTGCCGCCACCGCCGCCTCCGCCTCCACCCCCACCACCACCGCCGCTGCCACCCCCGCCTCCACTGCCGCCGCTGACACCTCCACTCCCGACACCACTCCCGCTACCACCCCCACCTCCTCCGCTGCCTCCACCGCCGCTCCCACCGCCCCCGCCGCCTCCACCACCGCTCCTGCCCCCTTTGCCCTTGCTAGAGCGACGTCTCCCACTGGGGGCAGACGCCGCACCGACCGACTCAAAACCAACTAGGTCGGCCATAGCAGCAGAGGCGAAAGAGGGCAGGAGGGGGGAGGGGGAACACCCCTCAAAGATGGGGGTGCGCGGGTCACCACGAGAGGCCCCTACAGCGAGAATGCTCTTCTCAGCTGCTAGGAGGGACTTCTCGAGGATGTTAACAGTGAGAGTGGTGGGGCAGACTGAGAGTAAGTCGTCCCTGACTCCGCGGAGGGAGTCAGGGAGGCGGGTGACAATGTAGTAGAGAGTGAAGTACTTGGGGGGGGGGTTCTTGGCGCAGAACTCAGCAGGAAGCGCAGCACAGAAGCGAGCGTCACTAGTGCGCAGGTGGGTAATGAGGTCGGCGACTGTGGCAAAAGAAGCAAGGTCGGGAAAGAGGTACGGTAGCATGAGGCGGCTCAGTGCAGCAGTGGCAGGGGTGGAGTAGCGTGCAATAACGGCGTCGTACAAGGTCTGAGCACTCTTGTACGACCCAAAGTGTGCACGCTCAGAGGGAGGGAGGTGGCGACGCACAGCAAGACGTGCAGCAGCATCGCGTGTGGCCCACACTGAGCGAACAGTGGCATCCTTAGTAGCAGCAGGGGCGGGAGAGGCACCAGAAGTGAGATCAAAGAGAGAGAGGCCGTCAGCTCTGTCGCACTGTAGGAAAAGCAGCAGGTCGTCTACCCATACGTCAAAGTCTATGGCTCTGCCCTCAGCGTCAAAGGTGAGGACACTGGGGGTAGCCATGACAGCAGTAGGGTGAGGGCAGTGCGCAGAGTAAAGCTCAGTGCTCACCAGACAGGGCAGTGCAGGCGGCTCGGGCGGCTCGGGCGGCTCGGGCGGCTCGGGCGGCTCGGCGGGTCGGCTGCTGGGCGGCTCGGGCGGCTCGGCGGCTCGGGCGGCTCGGGCGGCTCAGCTGCTGGGGCGGCTCGGCTGCTGGGGCGGCTCGGCTGCTGGGGCGGCTCGGCTGCTGGGGCGGCTCGGCTGCTGGGACGGCTCGGCTGCTGGGGCGGCGCAGTTGCTGGGGTGGCGGGGCCGGGAGATGCAGCTGCGGGGCCGTTAGGGGGAGTGGCGGGGCCGGTAGGTGAAGCGGCGGGGCCGTCAGGTACAGCAGCGGGGCCGGCAGGTGAGACGGCGGGGCCTGCAGATGCAGCAGCGGGGCCGTCAGGGGTAGCGGCGGGGCCGGTAGGTGCAGTGGCGGGGCCGTCAGAGGGGACGGCGGGGCCGTTAGGTGCAGCGGCGGGGCCGTCAGAGGGGACGGCGGGGCCGTCAGGTGCAGCGGCGGGGCCGTGTGAAGCAGCGGCGGGGCCGGCAGAGGGGACAGCGGGGCCGTCGGGTGCAGCGGCGGGGCCGGCAGAGGGGACGGCGGGGCCGTCAAGCGCAGCGGCGGGGCCGGCAGAGGGGACGGCGGGGCCGTCAAGCGCAGCGGAGGGGCCGGTAGAGGGGACGGCGGGGCCGTCGCAGGCGATCGCGGGGCCGTCAGCGACGGCGCCGGCGTCGCGAGGGTCAGAGGGGGGGGGCGGCGCGCGACTGGAGGGCGGCACGCGCGACGCGGCGCGGCCGTCTAGGGGCGGCGCGACGAGGCCGCGTAGGTGGCGCGTCAGAATTTCGAGGGCGGCTCGACGCGATCGGGCCGCCAAAGGAAAAAAAAAGGCCCAGCGCGACTCGGGCTAGGGCAGAGCGCGCTCCGGGCAGGACGGAATAGTAGGTGGGCCCTAGGAACAGTTCCCACTAGGGAACCTGCTCGATACCATGTTGAGATAGAGGCGAGGAATGAGTGCACTATGAAATGAAACAAGTACAAGTACCAACCCTAATTGGGTTGTACCCCCTATGGGCTACCCCAGTACAGCCTAAATATATGCATCAGTAATATAATCATCTGACAAGTAGCACTGAGGAGCTTGGAGTGGGTGTTTTGTGTACTTTAATGTAATACAGCGCATTATTGTGCTACAGTTGGATACCTGCAACCTACCGTACCTTTCTGCAACATGGCTGATCAGTTGAGGCCTTTCAAGTGTGGCTACCCTGGATGTATAGCGACGTTCTCTTTTGCACATCAGAAAGCACGTCACGTCAAGGCAGGAAAGCACAAATTCCAACCAGCTGAGGCAGCATCTGAGGGATTGCGAGATGACAGCAGCCAGGAAGGAGCTGTAGGAAGTCTTCAAGAAGCTGCAGACCGCATTCTCTCGAAATCCAGCAAACGCCCACGAAGTCAAACACAACCAGGGCCGAGCCGTTTGGATCACCAACCGGACGCGGCTGAATTGAATGAGGATGCGACGGGCTACTTGTTTGCCCCTGAGTGCGATGCAACTTCGGTTGATATTGATGCTCGGGGGTACCGGTTGGTTCGCACGGCAGCTGGTGGATCTGGGCTATCGCGTGTGGATATAAAGGAACTACTATCCATTCTCGTCGAAGTGTTGGCCAATCCCGGACGGCTAACCATTCAGTCTCTTGTAGAGTTCGACAAGTACGAGGAGGAGCAATTGGCAGGGGCGAAGATTGAACCGTTCGAGCAGGTGGAGTTGACGAAGGAAGGGGATTTGAAGCCTGTGATTCTCTGGCGGCGTTCGGCTCTGTCGTGCGTACAAGGTCTATACGAGAACGTGGCGAATGCGCACGGCTTCGTGGTGAGTCTGTGAAAGTAATGAACAGGAATAAATTGACTAAGGAAAGATTGGGGTACAAATACAACCCTAAAAACCTGTACCCCATATGTGCTACCCCACTATAGCCTACAGCAACTATGTCATATAAATCTGACACACCCCCATAGGCAAAGTGGGGGAGAACAAGGGGTCACAAGACCAGTCAAGCAAAGCAAAGCAAAGCTCAGGGTGGATCACAAAGTCACCACACAGTCCGAGCACAAGGTCAAGGCCACAAGACCAGTTCACATGCAAGAACACATATATATATAAGGCTAAACAAGCAAGAGCAGGTATATATATATATATATATGCAAGAGTACAAGCAAGGTCAAGAGGTGAGCAAGTGAGGTAGGACAGGTACAAGTCCCAGCTGAGTGCAGAAGCGCTGATGGTCACAAGGCGCGAGTGCCTTGGTGAACACATCAGCAGTGTTGGCCTCAGAGGCCACGTACGCAAGCCGCAACTGTCCACGCTGCTGTAGCTCACGAGCAAGGAAGTAGCAAAGAGCAATGTGCTTCGTTCTGTGCTCCAGACGCTGCTCTCGACACAAGGCCAGCATGGCCTTGTTGTCTACGTACAGCACTGGAGGAGAACGAGGCGGCTCTCCAAGGTCAGTCAGCAGGTAGGTGAGCCAGCGAAGCTCCTGTGCAGCCATGGCCCCTGCGTAGATCTCAGCCTCACAACTGGAGCCGAGAACCGAAGACGAGCGAGTAGCCCGCCACGAGACAGAGCCGGAACCAAGGCTGAAGGTGTAACCCTGTGACGACCGCTGCGTAGCCTGGTCGTCAGCCCAAGAAGCGTCCGCGTGTCCTGTAAGGACCACTGGACTCCGCCCTCCAAGCACTAGCCCCATGCCCGACGTACTGCACAGGTAGCGCAACACCCTCTTCGCTGCAGCCATGTGCTCTGGTCGGTGTCTCCCAGGAGCAACATAGCGTGCAAGAATGCTAAGAGGGTATGCAAGGTCAGGTCGTGTGCAGGTCATCAGGTACATGAGGCAGCCAACAAGCTCTGCATACGGGCCACTCGACTCTACGGACTCATCCGAAGGTAGAGCTGAGAGCGAGTGGCGAGTAGACAGAGGAGTGGCCTGAGGCGAGGAGTACGTGAAGCCGAAGCGCTGAAGGACCTGCTGCACCATGTGTGACTGAGTCAAGGTAATGGTGCGGCGTGGTCTGTCCCGAGTGATCTGCAAGCCAAGATAGCTGCGCAGTTCACCCAGGTCTGTGCACGTGTGTCTCTTCAGCAGCTCGGACTTCACGTAGGCGAGTCCAGCAGTGTCCGCTGTGGCAAAGACCAAGTCGTCGACGTACACGAGGATGTAGAACGGCGGCAAAGAAGTGTCGGTGCGCAGAAACAGCGACGGGTCAGCAGTAGAAGGAGCAAACCCAAGAGCCGCAAGCGTAGTCCTCTGTGTGTCGTGCCACTCACGCGGTGCCTGGCGGAGACCGAAGACTGGCCGTCGGAGGCTCCACTTGGTGCCAGGAGGGAAAGTCCCAGTGAAGCCAGGTGGACGGCGCAGCCAGATCTCCTCGTGCAGGCTACCCTGCAAGAACGCAGTGCTGAAGTCGAGAGAGTGAAGCTCGTAGTCGCGCTGAGCGGCTATGTGCAGCAGCACCCGAAGAGTAGTCATCTTCGGGGTGGGAGAGAAGGTCTGAAAGTAGTCAACTCCCTGCCGCTGACTGAAGCCACGAGCGACGTACCGCGCCTTGAAGACAGGTGGAGAGCCCGGCGGCCGCTTCACCCTGAAGATCCACATGCCACTGACGATGTTCGCCCCAGGAGGGGGAACCGCGTCAACGTAGGTGCCTGTGGACTTCCAGGAAGCCATCTCTGCATCCATAGCTGCCTGCCACTGAGAGGAGCAGGGACCCTCTACGGCCTTCGCGTAAGAGCGCGGAGTCGGGATGTCTAGTGCATCCGGGTCTCCCTCAGGAGCAAGCAGTACAGACGCGAGATGAGGTGAAGCAGCACCCAGACACTGGAACTCCTCCTGCCTGTCCTCAAGGACGTCCGTGCCAAGAGCACACTCACCCCCGACGGACGGAGGACAGACAGACGCAGACTCAGCAACAAGACTGGCAGCGTAGTCTAGACGACAGCGAGCAGCAAAGTCGACGAGCTCAGCGACAAGAGCACACGCAGCAGCGGACTCAAAAGAGGGGTCAGTGACGACAGTAGCAAGCAGACGCGTGACAGTAGGACTGGCAGCACAAAGGGAGTCCGACTGTGGGTCGGCAAGCACAGGAAGGGAGGACTCAGGAGGAGCAGACAAAGGGGCACGCAGAGGAGCAGTGGACGGACGCAGAGACATCCGGTGCGTGCTAGGGACAGGAGGAGGACGCTGACGCGAACCGCGACCACTAGCGCGAGCAGCACGAACAGGCGACGCGGGACGAGACGCAGGCTCACGACGCTCAGCAAGACCCCCTGTAGGACCAGTGTAAGGAGAGGGAGCAGGCAGTGGAGAGGTAGGCTCCAACAGTGACTGCGACTGGACAGGCTGTGGACACTCTACGGGAGGAGAAAGACCAAGAACCTGCTGTAGGAGCGGAACGAAGTACGGCCGAGGCCGCGCGGGCAACTCCAGACTCAGCAGGGACAGCACCAGCACCCTCAGCGGCAGCACCAGTACCACCAACACCTCCAGCGGCAGGGCCTACAGCAGCACCAGCAGCAGGACCACCGCCAGGACAGACAGCAGTAGTCTCAGCACCAACACCCTTAGAAGCTCCAGTTCCAGTAGGACCCGCAGGCCCAGCAGCTCCGGGACCAGCGGCACCAGCACCCTCGGTGGTCTAAGAAGCTCCAGCTCCAGCAGTACGCCTCCAGCGGCGAGCAAACCACTCGCGCAGCTCCTGTGGAGAGAGGGGCTCCCGCCGAGACGGAGCACCAGGAGAAACCCCAGGCTCAGCAGCTCCAGGCGCAGGACCCCCAGACTCGGCACCTCCAGGCTCAGCAGCTCCAGACGCAGCACCCCCAGGCTTAGCAGCTCCAGACTCAGCACCCCCAGACTCAGCACCCCCTAGCTCAGCAGCTCCAGGTACAGCACCCCCCGACTCAGCACCCCCAGGCTCAGCACCCTCAGCAGTAGCACCCCCAGGCTCAGCACCCCCAGTAGCAGCACCTCCAGGCTCGGCACCCCCAGGCTCAGCACCCCCGCGCACAACACCCCCAGAGTCAGCACCCCCAGGCTCAGCACCCGCAGCAGCACCAGAGTCACCAGTAACCTCGACCGGGTCAACGGCGTCTACCTGGGACACACCTGAGGGTGAACGAACCTGAGGGGGGAGGGGGTCTACCGGGGGGGGGGAACCGGCACAAGGAAGTCCGGTGGCGGGGGGAGAGAAGGAGTGCGGTAGGGGAAGAGGCGGTAGAAGGGGACTGACTCGTCGAACGTGACGTCCTGGGAGGACAGAACACGACGAGAGGAGGGGTGGTAGAACTGCCACCCTGGAGCGTCAGGGGGGGGAAGCCAAGGAAGACACAGGGAGCAGCACGAGGGGACAGCTTGTCCGCAGACAAGTCGCGCACAAACGCCCGAGATCCCCAGACACGGAACGCAGACGCATCGCCAACCTTCCCCGTCCACAGTAGAGCTGGGGAGGTCTCCGGCCGGGAGACCCTGGGGTGAAGGTTGAGCTGATGCGCCGCGTACCGAACCGCAAAAGGCCACAGAAAATGGGGGGCGGCCGCATGCATCATGGACGTACGAGCGACATCCATGACCATGCCAATGCGGCGCTCAGCAATCCCATTTTGCTGTGGAGAGTCTGGAAGCGTAAAGGTCTGGCGGATCCCCCGTGCACGACAGTAGTCTCGCAGAAGGCGAGAGGAGAACTCCCCACCTCGGTCAGAGTGCAGACGCAGAACAGGAAAGTCTGAGCCGAAGCTCCTCCTGAGCTGGAGACGAGCCTCGCGGATCCAGTCGATCAGCACCGCAGTGACATCACCCTTGCTGCGCAAGGGGAAGACTGTGGTGTAACGCGAGTAGTCGTCAACCACCAACAGGAAGTAGAGCTCGTGACCCTGCCCACGCACGCGGGCCGGGCCCCACACGTCCATGTGAAGTGTCTGCAGAGGAGCCTCTGTCGGGGGAAACTGGGAGGAGTGAGGAGCAGCCCTGAGGCGCCCCTCGACACAGGGGACACAGGAAGGTCCTGGTCCCGAAGGAAGGGGAGGGAGAGACCGAGGAAGACCTGAGACAAGGACACGGGAAGCCATGCCCCGAAGACGGGACAGGGAGGGGTGGCCAAGACGGTGGTGCCACAGGAGAGTCTCGTGAGACAGGAGGCGACATGAACAGGGGGCAGACTCAGGGCCAGACCGGGACGCAGCAGCAAACACCTGACCTGACGCAGCTACCTGGTCAGACGCAGGGACAGGAGGAGACTCAGTGGTCAGGGTGTAGAGGCTCGACCCCGGCCGACGCGAGAACGTGGCCAGGTGCCGGCCTGTGCGTGCGTCCGTGCGTGCGTCCGTGCGTGGGTCACCCGCTGACTCGCAGGAGTGAACTGGTGAACCCCCGCATCCTGTAGGTCCGCACCACTCACCAAGTTCGTCGAGAACGAGGGAAGGTACAGACCAGACAGGGTGCCCGAGGGGGCAGCCGGACACGGGAGGACAGTGGAAAAGTGAGAGAGGACAGGACCCCCAGAGGGGTCAGCCAGGGAGACCGCAACCGGCCGACCAAGCCGCGTGAGGGTGGTGCGGTCTCGAAAGAAGGAGCGAGAAGCCCCTGAGTCAAGTGTGAAAGTGAGGGAGGATGAAGGCGACGCAGTACCTGAGAGCGCAGTCTCACCAGTACCTGAGAGCGCAGACGCACTGGCACCTAGAGCAGCAGCCTCACAAGCACCTAGCGCAGCAGTACCAATGCCCGGGTCGGGCGGGAAACACCGGTAACAGTCACCCTCCTCACTAATAGTCACAGCATACATAGCAGCAAGGATAGCATCAAAGTCAAGATCAAAGATCGCTACACCAGCCCTAGAAAGCTCATCCCAGCGGGGAATCTCACTAGCCTCGGGGAACTGCTGACGCCAAGCGTCCGTCAGGCGGCCAAAGCAGCGCTGGGTGGGGTGGGCACCCCCACACTGCTCACCCGCGCGGTCGCCGGAACGAAGGACGTAGGTGCACGGACCAGCACCCCCACCCCTCTGACGCCGAGTGTACCACTCACAGAGCTGCTGGGGCGGAGGGATGTCCCGCGAACGCTGCTGCTGCTGCTGCTGCTGGCGCTGACCACTACCAGCGCCGCTCCGCTGCGGGGCACCACCCCGACCAGCTCCACCTCCTCCGCCAACGCCTCCTCCTCCTCCGCCTCCACCGCCGCCACCACTCCCACCGCTGCCGCCACCACCGCAGCCTCCTCCGCCGCTGCCACCACCACCACCGCCTCCGCCACCACTCCCGCCGCCACCCCCACTCCCTCCGCCGCCTCCACCGCCACCTCCACCGCCGCCTCCAGCTCCACCCGCGCCCTTACCCTCCTTGCCCTTGCCAGAGCGGCGTCTCCCACTAGGGGCAGACGCTGCGCCGACCGACTCAAGACCAAGCAGGTCGGCAGCAGCAGCAGAGGCAACAGAGGGCAGCAGGGGGGAAGGAGGGCACCCCTCAAAGATGGGGGTGCGAGGGTCACCACGAGAAGCTCCTACAGCGACGATGCTCTTCTCCGCCGCTAGGAGGGCCTTCTCGAGGAGGTCGACAGTGAGGGTGGTGGGACAGACTGAGAGAAAGTGGTCCCTGACTACGCGAAGGGAGTCAAGGAGGCGTGCTACTACGTAGTAGAGAGTGATGTACATGGGGGGGGGGGTTCTTGGCGCAGAACTCAGCAGGAAGGGCGGCGCGGTAGCGAGTGTCACTAGTGCGGAGGTGCGTAATGAGGTCAGCGACAGTGGGAAAGGCAGTGAGGTCAGGAAAGAGGTACGGTAGCATGAGACGGCTCAGTGCAGCAGTGGCAGGGGAAGAGTAGCGCGCAACTACAGCGTCGTACAGGGTCTGAGCACTCTTGTACTGACTAAAGTGCGCGCGCTCAGTTGTGGGCAAGTGGCGACGCACAGCAAGACGTGCAGCAGCATCGCGGGTGGCCAATGAGAGCGAATAGTGGGGTCAGCATCAGCAGCAGGAGCAGGAGAGGCGCCAGAGGTGAGGTCAAAGAGAGAAAGACCGTCTGCCCTATCGCACTGCAAAAACAACTGGAGGTCGTCGACCCAGACCTCAAAGTCGATGGCTCTGCCCTCAGCGTCAAAGGCTAGGACACTGGGGGTAGCCATGACGACAGACTATCAGTGCAAGCAGTGGGGAAAGGGCAAGCGGAAGCAGTGCTGTGCTCACCAGGCAGGGCAGGTCGGGCGACTCGACGGCTGCAGGACGGCACGGCCGCTGCGGGGCGGCTCGGCTGCGACTGGGCGGCTCGGCGGCTTCTGGGCGGCTCGACTGCTGCTGGGCGGCTCGGCAGCTGCTGGGCGGCTCGGCTGCTGCTGGGCGGCTCGGCTGCTGCTGGGCGGCTCGGCTGCTGCTGGGCGGCTCGGCTGTAGGGCGGCTCGGGCGGGGCGGCTCGGCTGCTCCGGTACCGGGTGGCGGGGCCGTGAGAGCAGGGGCGACGGGGCCGTGAGTAGGGGTGGCGGTGTCGCGGTAGTAGGGGTGGCGGGGCCGTGAGCGCTGGGGCGGCGGGGCCACGAGATCAGGGGCGGCGGGGTTGAGAGCGCTGGGGCGGCGGGGCCGCGAGATCAGGGGCAGCGGGGCCGTGAGCGTTGGGGCAGCGAGGCCGCTAGAGAAGGGGCGGCAGGGCCGCGAGTGCTGGGGTGGCGGGGCCGCGAGTGCTGGGGCGGCGGGGCCGCGAGATTAGGGGCGGCAAGGGCCGCGAGATCAGGGCAGCGGGGCCGCTGAAGTAGGGGCGGCGGGGCCGCGAGAGAAGAGGCGGCGGGGCCGTGAAGGGGCGGCGGGGCCGCTCGAAGGGTGGGCGGGGCCGCTAGGAAGGGCGGCGGGGCCGCGTCTGAAGGGCGGTGGGGCCGTGAGAAGGGCAGCGGGGCCGCGAGGGAAAGGGCGACTCGGGGGTTCGCTAAAAAAAAGGAGATCGCGCGCCTCGGGGCGCGCTTCGGTGGGCCCTAGGCCAAGTTCCCACAGGGAACCCGCTCTATACCATGTGAAAGTAATGAACAGGAATGAATTGACTAAGGAAAGATTGGGGTACAAATACAACCCTAGAAACTTGTACCCCATATGTGCTACCCCACTATAGCCTACAGCAACTATGTCATATAAATCTGACAGAGTCCTCGGAAGAAAGCTACCCAAGGCAAACAAATCTACAAGGGTCCTGAGACGGGAAGTTGGTGGCGGGAGGTTTTGCGTCGACTGCCTGCTGGTGCTGACCCACCCACGGCCGTAGCTGCGGTGATCATCTATTCAGATGAAACGACCCTGACGACCGATGGCGGGCTGAAAGGTTGGCCAATGTACATTTCGCTGGCCAACATCGCTCCTGGGAATCGATGGAAACCCCACGGGCACAGGCTCTGTGCTCTCTTGCCCGAGGATGATGGCTCTCTCTTCACGGACGCGGCTAGGAAGAAACGGCGGCTTGAGGTGTTCCAAGAAGCGCTTGATCTCATCATGGAAGACCTGAAGAAGGCGCAACACTTGTAAGTGGATTGAACGCGATCTCAATAAGTTGTAATCGTCTATTGTGCGTGTTGGAGTGTTGTATCGCCATACACCACTTTACAATACCGTTATGTATCTGTTGCTTGCAGGGGAATGGAGTTGACGGACCCGTATGGCATTCTTCGTACGGTATACCCGATCACGTACTCCTACATCGGCGACTATCCAGAGCAGTGCAAGGTTGCATGGACCAAGTCTGGCATCAAAACTCGTCTTCCATGCCCCAGGTGCACCGTTCCGAGGGAGGAGCTGAGTAACATGGAGTATCCTCTCACTTTCCGGACGGAGGAAGGACAGATGCAACATGTGATGGAAATGGAGAGCGCGCCGACACATGGGGCACGAAAGGATTTGTCCAAAGTCCACAGCACACATTGCGTCAAGGTATGTCTTGTCGGACGCCTATATGCAACTTGGATAGAATTGTAAAGCTTTGACTCGTTCAACAAAGCTAACGTGTATCGTGTTTGTTTGGTTGTTTTTGTGTGTGTGTGTTTGTGTGTGTATGTGTGTATGTATGTGTGTGTGTGTGTGTGTGTGAGTGTGTGTGTGTGTGTGTGTGAGAGTATGTGTGTGCGTGTGAGTGTGTGAGTGTGCGTGTGTGTGTGCACGTGTGTGTGAGTGTGTGCGCGTGAGTGTGTGCGCGCGCGTACGAGCGTGTGGTGTGGGTGTGTGAGTGTGTGTGTGTGTGTATGTGAGTGTGTATGTGTATGAGTGCGTGAGTGTGTGTGTGTGTGCGCGTGTGTGTGAGTGTGTGTGTGTGAGTGTGTGGGTGTGTGAGTGTGTGTGTGTGTGTGTGAGCGTGTGTGTGAGTGTGTGTGTGTGAGTGTGTGTGAGTGCGTGTGTGTGCGTGTGTGTGTGCGTGTGTGTGAGTGTGTGTGTGTGTGAGTGTGTGAGTGTGCGTGTGTGTGTGCGCGTGTGTGTGAGTATGTGCGCGTGAGTGTGTGCGTGTGCGTGCGAGCGTGTGTGTGGGTGTGTGTATGTGTGAGCGTGTGTATGTGTGTATGTGTGTGTTGTGACAATAGGAAAACAGGAATGAATGAACTATGAACGAAAGCAGTACAAATATGAAACCCTAACTGGGTTGTACCCCCTATGGGATACCCCACTACAGCCTACACAGCAGTATAAGCCTATAGATATGTTCTGACACACCCCCATAGGCAAAGTGGGGGAGAACAAGGGGTCACAAGACCAGTCAAGCAAGACAAAGCAAAGCTCAGGGTGGATCACAAAGTCACCACACAGTCCGAGCACAAGAGCAAGGCCAAGGCCAGTTCACAAGCAAGAGTACAGACATATATATAAAGCTAGACAAGCAAGAGCAGGTATATATATATGTCACAGTACAAGTGAAGTCAAGAGGAGACCAAGTGAGGCAAGACAGGCACAAGACCCAGCTGGGTGCAGAAGCGCTGATGGTCACAAGGCGCAAGTGCCTTGGTGAACACATCAGCAGTGTTGGCCTCAGAGGCCACGTACGCAAGTCGCAACTGACCACGCTGCTGCAGCTCACGAGCAAGGAAGTAGCGGAGAGCAATGTGCTTCGTTCTGTGCTCCAAGCGCTGCTCTCGACACAAGGCCAGCATAGCCTTGTTGTCTACGTACAGCACTGGAGGAGAACGAGGCGGCTCTCCAAGGTCAGTCAGCAGGTAGGTGAGCCAGCGAAGCTCCTGTGCAGCCATGGCCCCGGCGTAGATCTCAGCCTCACAACTGGAGCCGAGAACCGAAGACGAGCGAGTAGACCGCCACGAGACAGAGCCGGAACCAAGGCTGAAGGTGTAACCCTGTGACGACCGCTGCGTAGCCTGGTCGTCAGCCCAAGAAGCGTCCGCGTGGCCGGTAAGGACCACTGGACCTCCGCCCTCCAAGCACTAGCCCCATGCCTGACTTACTGCACAGGTAGCGCAATACCCTCTTCGCTGCAGCCATGTGCTCCGGTCTGTGTCTCCCAGGAGCAACATAGCGTGCAAGAATGCTCAGAGGGTATGCAAGGTCAGGTCGTGTGCAGGTCATCAGGTACATGAGGCAGCCAACAAGCTCCGCATACGGACCACTCGACTCTACGGACTCATCCGAAGGCAGAGCTGAGAGTGAGTGGCGAGTAGGCAGAGGAGTGGCCTGAGGCGAGGAGTACGTGAAGCCGAAGCGCTGAAGGACCTGCTGCACCATGTGTGACTGAGTCAAGGTAATGGTGCGGCGTGCTCTGTCCGAGTGATCTGCAAGCCAAGGTAGCTGCGCAGTTCACCCAGGTCTGTGCACGTGTGTCTCTTCAACAGCTCGGACTTCACGTAGGCGAGTCCAGCAGTGTCCGCTGTGGCAAAGACCAGGTCGTCGACGTACACGAGGATGTAGAACGGCGGCAGGGAAGTGTCGGTGCGAAGAAACAGCGACGGGTCAGCAGTAGAAGGAGCAAACCCAAGAGCCGCAAGCGTAGTCCTCAGTGTGTCGTGCCACTCACGCGGTGCCTGGCGGAGACCGTAGACTGGCCGTCGGAGGCTCCACTGGGTGCCAGGAGGGAAAGTCCCAGTGAAGCCAGGTGGACGGCGAAGCCAGATCTCCTCGTGCAGGCTACCCTGCAAGAACGCAGTGCTGAAGTCGAGAGAGTGAAGCTCGTAGTCGCGCTGAGCGGCTATGTGCAGCAGCACCCGAAGAGTAGTCATCTTCGGGGTGGGAGAGAAGGTCTGAAAGTAGTCAACTCCCTGCCGCTGACTGAAGCCACGAGCAACGTACCGTGCCTTGAAGACAGGTGGAGAGCCCGGCGGCCGCTTCACCCTGAAGATCCACATGCCACTGACGATGTTCGCCCCAGGAGGGGGAACCGCGTCAACGTAGGTGCCTGTGGACTTCCAGGAAGCCATCTCTGCATCCATAGCTGCCTGCCACTGAGAGGAGTAGGGACCCTCTACGGCCTCCGCGTAAGAACGCGGAGTCGGGATGTCTAGTGCATCCGGGTCTCCCTCAGGGGCAAGCAGTACAGACGCGAGATGAGGTGAAGCAGCCGCTAGACACTGTAACTCCTCCTGCCTGTCCTCTAGGACGTCCGTGCCAAGAGCACACTCACCCCCGACGGACGGAGGACAGACAGACGCAGACTCAGCAACATAGACTAGCAGCGTAGTCGAGACGACAGCGAGCAGCAAAGTCGACGCGCTCAGCGACTAGAGCAGACGCAGCAGTGGACTCAAAAGAGGGGTCAGTGACGACAGTAGCAAGCAGACGCGTGACAGTGGGACTGGCAGCACGAAGAGAGTCCGACTCAGGGTCCGCAAGCGCAGGAAGAGAGGACTCAGGAGGAGAAGGCAAAGGGGCACGCAGAGGAGCAGTGGACGGACGCAGAGACATCCGGTGCGTGCCAGGGACAGGAGGAGGACGCTGACGCGAACTGCGACCACTAGCGCGAGCAGCACGAACAGGCGACGCGGGACGAGACGCAGGCTCACGCCGCTCAGCAAGACCTCCAGTAGGACCAGTGTAAGGAGAGGGAGCAGGCAGTGGAGAGGAAGGCTCCAGTAGGAGGCTTGCGACTGGACAGGAGGCGGTGGACCCTCTACAGGAGGAGAAAGACCAAGAACCTGCTGAAGGAGCGGAACGAAGTACGGCCGAGGCCGCGCGGCAGCTCCAGACTCAGCAGGGACAGCACCAGCACCTCAGCGACAACACCAGCGCCACCCACACCTCCAGCGGCAGGACCAACAGCAGCAGGCTCAGCACGAACGCCCTCAGCAGCTCCAGCTCCAGGAGGACCTGCAGGGCCAGCAGCTCGGGACGGCTGCACCCGCACCCTCGACGGTCGAAGAAGCCCAGCTCCAGCTCCAGCAGCACCTCCAGACTCAGCAGCACGCCTCCAGCGGGCGAGCGAACCACTCGCGCAGCTCCTGTGGAGAGAGGGGCTCCCGGCGAGACGCTAGCAGCAGGAGAAACCCCAGGCTCAGCAGCTCCAGACGCAGCACCCCCAGGCTCAGCAGCTCCCAGCTCAGCACCCCCAGGCTCAGCAGCTCCCGACCAGCACCCCCAGACCCAGCACCTCCAGGCACAGCACCCCCGGCTCAGCACCCCCAGGCTCCGCACCCTCCGCAGTAGCACCCTCAGGCCCAGCACCCCCAGCAGTAGCACCCCCAGGCTCAGCACCCCCGCGCACAGCACCCCCAGAGTCAGCACCCCCAGGCTCAGCACTCGCAGCAGCACCAGAGTCACCAGTAACCTCGAACGGGTCAACGGCGTCTACCTGGGACACACTGAGGGGGCAGGAACCTGAGGGGGGAGGGGGTCTACCGGGGGGGAACCGGCACAAGGAAGTCCGGGGGAGGGGGGAGGGAAGGAGTGCGGTAGGGGAAGAGACGGTAGAAGGGGACTGACTCGTCGAACGTGACGTCCTGGGAGGACAGAACAGACGAGAGGAGGGGTGGTAAAACTGCCACCCTGGGGCGTCAGTGGGGAAGCCAAGGAAGACACAGGGAGCAGCACGAGGGGACAGCTTGTCCGCAGACAAGTCGCGGACAAACGCCCGAGATCCCCAGACACGGAACACAGACGCATCGCAAACCTTCCCCGTCCACAGCAAGGCTGGGGACATCGCTGGCCGAGAGACCCGGGGGTGAAGGTTGAGCTGATGCGCCGCGTACCTCACCGCAAACGGCCACAGAAAATGGGGGGCAGCCGCATGCATCATGGACGTACGAGCGACATCCATGACCATGCCAATGCGGCGCTCAGCAATCCCATTTTGCTGTGGTGAGTCCGGAAGCGTGAAGGTCTGGCGGATCCCCCGTGCACGACAGTAGTCTCGTAGAAGGCGAGAAGAGAACTCTCCGCCTCTGTCAGAGTGCAGACGCAGAACAGGAAAGTCCGAGCCGAAGCTCTTCCTGAGCTGGAGACGAGCCTCGCGGATCCAGTCGATTAGCACCTCAGTGACGCACCCTTGCTGCGCAAGGGGAGGACTGTGGTGTAACGCGAGTAGTCGTCAACCACCAACAGGAAGTAGCGCTCGTAACCCTGCCCACGGACGGGGGCTGGGCCCCCAACATCCATGTGAAGCGTCTGCAGGGGAGCCTCTGTCGGGGGGAAGTGGGAGGAGTGAGGAGTAGCCGGAGGCGACCCTCGACACAGGGACACAGGAAGGTCCTGGCCCGGAGGGGAGAGGAGGGAGAGACTGGGGAAGACCAGAGACAAGGACACGGGAAGCCATGCTCCGAAGACGGGGCAAGGAGGGGTGGCCAAGACGGTGGTGCCACAGGAGAGTCTCGTGAGACAGGAGGCGACAAGAACAGGGGGCAGACTCAGGACCTGACCGGGACGCAGCAGCAAGTACCTGACCCGACGCAGCCACCTGACCAGACGCAGGGACAGGAGGAGACTCAACGGTCAGGGTGTAGAGACTCGACCCGGCCGACGTGAGAACGTGGCCAGGTGTCGGCCTGTGCAAGCCTCCGTGCAGTGGGTCACCCTCTGACGCGCAGGAGTGAACTGGTGAACACCCCCATCCTGCAGGTCCGCTCCACTCACCAAGTTCGTAGAGAACGAGGGAAGGTACAGACCCGACAGGGTGCCGAAGGGGCAGCCGGACACGGGGAGGACAGTGGAGAAGTGAGACAGGACAGGACCCCCAGAGGGGTCAGCAAGGGAGACCGCAACCGGCCTGGCGAGCGGCGAAAGGGTAGTGCGGTCTCGAAAAGAAGGAGCGAGAAGCTCCGGAGTCAAGTGTGAAAGTGAGGGAGGACGAGGACGACTCAGTACCTGAGAGCGCAGTCTCACCAGTACCTGAGAGCGCAGACGCACTGGCACCTAGAGCAGCAGCCGCACAAGCACCTAGCGCAGCAGTACCAATGCCCGGGTCGGGCTGAAAACACCCGGTAACCCTCATCTCCTCACTATAATCCACAACATACATAGCAGTAAGGATAGCATCAAAATCAAGATCAAAGATCGCTACACCAGCCCTGAGAAGCTCATCCCAGTGAGGGATCTCACTAGCCCCAGGGAACTGCTGACGCCAAGCGTCCGTCAGGCGGCCAAAGCAGCGCTGGGTGGCGTGGGCACCCCCACACTGCTCACCCGCGCGGTCGCCGGAACGAAGAACGTAGGTGCAGGGACCAGTACCCCCACCCCTCTGACGCCCAGCGTACCACTCACGAAGGTGCTGAGGCGAAGGGATGTCCCGCGAGCTGCTGCTGCTGTTGCGGTGCGAGCGCTGGCCACCACCACCGCCGCTACGCTGCTGGGTACCACCCCGACCAGCTCCACCTCCTCCACCACTACTGCCTCCTCCGCTGCCTCCTCCACTGCCTCCACCTCCGCGCCTCCCCACCTCCACCTCCGCCGCTGCCTCCACCACCACCGCTGGAACCACCACCACCGTCTCCGCCGCTGCTGCCGCCACCACCACCACCACCCCCGCCACTAGCCCCGCCGCCACCCCCACTCCCTCCGCCGCCACCGCCGCCACTGCCACCGCCCCCTCCAGCTCCACCCGCGCCCTTGCCCCCCTTGCCCTTGTGGGAGCGACGTCTCTCCACTAGGGGCAGGACGCCGCGCCGACCGACTCAGACCAAGCAGGTCGGCAGCAGCAGCAGAGGCAACAGAGGGCAGCAAGGGGGAAGGAGAGCACCCCTCAAAGATGGGGGTGCGAGGGTCACCACGAGAAGCACTACAGCGACTATGCTCTTCTCCGCTGCAAGGAGGGCCTTCTCGAGGAGGTCGACGGTGAGAGTGGTGGGACAGACTGCGAGAAAGTGGTCCCTGACGACGCGAAGGGAGTCAGGGAGGCGTGCGACTACGTAGTAGAGAGCGATGTACATGGGGGGGGGGGTTCTTAGCGCAGAACTCTCAGGAGGAAGGGCGGCGCGGTGGGCGGGGTAGCGAGTGTCACTAGTGCGGAGGTGCGTAATGAGGTCAGCGACAGTGGGAAAGGCAGAGAGGTCAGGAAGAGGTAGGGGAAGCATGAGACGGCTCAGTGCCAGCAGTGGCAGGGGAAGGAGGAGTAAGCGCGCCAACTACAGCGTCGTACAAGGTCTGAGCACACTTGTACTGACTAAAGTGCGCACGCTCAGAGGGTAGGGACAGGCTGGCGACGCACAGCAAGACGTGCAGCAGCATCGCGGGTGGCCCACTAGAGCGGACAGCGGGATCAGCATCCGCAGCAAGGGGCAGGAGATGGCGCCAGAGGTGAGGTCAAAGAGAGAAAGGTCGTCAGCCCGTCGCACTGTA